TTTAAAAATAATCCATGTTTGATCAATCAAACCATATTGTAGTTTATCAAATTGCCTCCACCATTCAATCATTCCTAAGTCGATGTCTTCTACTCCATAGGTCAGTCGTATTTTTGTCTTATTTGAGTGATTCATTCGCCGAAATTGTTTAGGTTGTTCTTCTTATCTATCTTTGAGCTTGAGCATCTTATATATGAATATGTTGCCTCACGGGGTTCTTCTTCTTGATTGTATTGTCTTATTTAAAAGAAAGTTACTCATCAATTAGCTCCACTACACACATTTTGGGCTAGTTATGAACTTAGCAACATTGCATTTGCCACATGCCCACATCTTTCAGTATATGATTTCTATGTTCAATTGATACACATACGTGTGTATGGAACATTTCATGCACAATGTTATGATGTGCAAGAAATTATCGAAGCCAATTTAGCATTCACTTCATTCTTATAAGGAATGATATTTTATATTGAGTTTCTTCCACTTTGTTGTGGTAAAAACATATTCAGTACTCATATCTAATTTTTCTACTTCCATCCTTCTCATATTCTATGAGAGACACTTTTGGGGGTATTCCCTTTTAGGATTAATGGATTTTAAAGGATTGTTAAAATCTCATAGCATTCTATAATCCTCAATGTGGAATTCAATGGAATCTTGCTAAATCTAATGTCCCGATTATTTTCATGAATTTTGAAGTCTTGGATATCTGAGGATTTGAATGGATTTAGGGGGTGTTTGGATTTGATTATGCTTTTATTTCTTTTTTAAAAATAGGAGAAAAATCAAAATCGGGTTTTCAGAAGTCGGTCTCCATTGGCTTCTAAAACTGCTTCTATGAGCAATCTGGAGCACTTAGAAGTACTTCTACACTTTCACCAAACAGTTCAATATCTGCTTCTGCTCTCTAAAAGAGCAAAAATAATATTAAGAAGTAGATTCAAACATCCCTTAAAGGCCAAAATGTAAAGAAAACAATTCAACCCAAAAACTTATTGTTACCCTCTGATTTCAACGGAATTCTCTCACAGGACTGCTTTTGGCTACTAAAGTCTAAGTAGCACATGGAAGTGTGGTCACGTGGATCAATGTCTAGTGATCTCGTGGCGCATAATCTAGAGGTCTTGTATGTGGAAGAGGAGGATCGACTAATTAAGGATAGATTGTCGATAGTCATTTAGAGGGGCGGCGGAGACATGAAGAGTTCATTTTTGGATAGCGAAGACCGGTTTTCGTTCACCAAGTTAAAACACAGGCTCATGATTTTGGGAAACGAGTAACCAATTCCATTACAATCTGAAAGATTCTGGAATTTCCAAAAATCCAAAATCATTTAGTGTCCTAAAGGATGTTAGTTTTTCACATTTAACTTTTAAGTTCTCTTGCTAAAATGACCATTGTGACTACTTTTAACTTCTTATAATCTAAGAAAGAGCCAACAGATGTATTTGAATTGGAGTCCTCAAATTCATATTTCAATCGAGCTAATCCCATTGCTCTAAAAAAACTTAGCGAGTCACAATACATTTAAGATATAATTCATGCATATATATGTAATTGGCATTGATTCCATGTGATAGGAGAACAAATCAACTTATAGGGGTGTATTGTATTAGGAATTAGTGGCAAAATTTTAAAAGTCCATGGATTTTAAAAGTTTAGGTGTATTCAATGTGGACTTTTAAAAGTCCACAAAAGTCTAGGTGTATTCAATGCGAACTTTTAAAAGTCTATAAAAGTCTAGGCGTATTCAAATTTCCGTTCATTCTTATTGACTTCTAAAATCATGGATTCTCGTGGACTTTTAACTCATTTTTAGTGCAAAAATTCTCTGCAATTGTCTCTTCTCCTCACCAAAGATTTCCGTGGACTTTTCTTATATCGGTTCTTCATCCCGTCCCACCCCATTCCTCCTCTCCCTCCTAGGGATGGACCGGGCCAGACCTGGTTTCGATTCCGAGTCGGGCCCGGCCGGGCTTGGAATTTTTTGGGTAAGGCCCGGGACCAGCCCGGGAGTCTACTGGTATCGGGGCGGGCCAGTTCCGGGTTGGGCCGAGCCAGTTCCGGGTTGGGCCGGGCTGGTTCATTTTTTTTTTGGGTTTTCTTATATATTCCAGCCCTCATCCCCCAAACCCCTCCAAAACACCCAGCCTACCTACCATAGGCCCACCCCCCCCCCCCCACCCCCTCCCCCCCCCCCAAAAAAAAGGCCCGGACCGGGCCTGAACCGGCCGGGCTGGTCCTCTAATATGCAGTTCTGGAACCGCCCCAATTAACCCCCCCCCCCCCCCCCCCCCCCGGTCGGGCCTAGGCCCGACACCGGTACTGATCCAACGGGCCGGGTCGGACCCGCACAGTGGCGGGCCGGGTCGGACCCGCACAGTGGCGGGCCGGGTCGGACCCGCACAGTGGCGGGCCGGGCCGGGTCACAGGCCAATCAGACCGGCCTCGGGCCAAGCCTACCCCCTCCCCCAACTCTACTCTTCTTTAGCCAAGCCACACCTTCCCCTTCAATCTTTCTTCGTTTTCTTCTTCAACCCAGCTCGCCCCACCCCCCTCCTTCCATTCTTCTTCTTCTTTAGATTGTCGTCCCCACTCCACCCCCCTCGATTCAGTAATCCTATATTGATTCGATTCTAGAAGTTTATAGAAGAATCGATAGTATTACATCAATGCAATTCTGATACGTCGTCAGTTAACCATTAAGAAAATAAATATTTTAACTATCACTTTCTTTCATCGTTAAATCGCTTAACACATAAAAATATAATTTCAAATTAATAAATATATAACCATAAATACATATACAAGTTTTTACAAGATAGAAGTTAAAAGAAAACAATCACTAAGTAGAAAAGTTCGATTGCGTTTATGCTTGTACCACATGTAGCAATGAGTGTAAAGCTTGTGTAACGATTAATGTTCTTAATCATTAATAAAATGGCCAAAATTCTCAAGCATTCTTGAAACTTTGAGTTTTTTTTTTAATAAAAATAAATTTGAATTCTTATGCTTCATTTATTTTTGTAGAACTTTGTGTTGCTATATGAATTACATTTTTTCATTTATGTATTTATTTATTTATTTACTTACTTACTTACTTATTTATTTCTTATCGTACTCCGTATTATATAGAAGAAATCACTCACGGTAGGACTAAAACATAGCATTATTCTTAAAGTATGATTAAATGTTTGATTTTTCTTAAATAGGAATAAATATTACATATTCACCCCTAATTTAATTAATTAATTAATATAATTAATTGCCCCTAGTTCCCTTTCACAACCAAAGCCATTTTGTTGGTGACGCGTCAGTCCGATGACGACAGCGGGGAACTCCGGTGATGGATGCGGACAGGTCACAGGCATATCGGTAGCGACAATCTAGGTGAAAATCTTGACGACTAGCAGTGGCGGTCCGCATTTAAAAGTCTATGGACTTTTTGAAAGTCAATAAACTTATTCATGGATTTAAAAGTCCATAGAATTCATTCATAAAAAAAGTTTATGGATTTAAAAGTCCATTGACTTTTTTAAAAGTCCATGGATTAAAAAAAGTCCACAACAATCCATATTGAATACACCCCCGTTAGTTTTGTTTCATCATCCTTCAACTCCACACTAGGCTAGTTAAAACCTTTGTCAATCCGAGAGTTCTCAAATAGAATAAAATCTTCTGCTATCAACGTTTGAAGTTCAAATCTTCGAACTTCTCCGGCCTTTCAACCAAACTCAAGTGTACCATAAGGTCCATAACCAGAATGTGAACCGTACCACTAAATTGGTAGAATGGCTCTGCTAGAGATGTACAAGGAAAGTCACATAGAAAATGGATGAGTACCACTGTTTTGTGGTTAACGCTGCCAATTGTTAAGTGTGTGTGGTACACACTTTTGACTTTGTTATCTCCCACTAATGCTGATAGTGTCAAAGCTAGAGCGATGAGTTTCCCAAGATAAAATGGATTCCTAGACTATATTGACCGCAAAATATGTCAACCAATGAGCTTAACAAAGAAAATAAATATAGTCAGCAAAAGAAGGATGACCTTAAAACTTTGCAAAAGACATCAAAGAACACAATGGGGGTAAGAAATTTAGAGGTCAACAAATATGAGAAAGCGGATTATGCTAGCGGGTTGTTAATAACGGATTCAATTAGCGGAATTGACTAGTGGAATAAATTGACGGGGTGCAAAAAGTGTTTGACAGTTTAATTGTTTGGCCATATGGATTAGTAGAAAATGTCATATTTCAAAACGCTAATCAAAACGCTGATGTTTGCAGCGTTTCCATCTAAACAATTTGATCCAAAAACGCTACGACCGAACAAAGATTTACCAAATAGCGAACGGTAAAAGCAATCAAACCGCCATTTTTTTTACTGCAACGTCATTTTCCAATCGCTCCAATGTCACAATAACGAGAACATAAGAAGAGCACGACAACTTTTGGAATAATACATATAGTCAAAGTTGTGTGCATAGGAAGCTATAATAGAAACTCGATTTATACATGGTCATTGTGTTACCAAGTGTAACAGTAAATGTCATTAACAATGGCAACGAATGTAAATAAGTGCCCCATAATAAATTACAGATTTTAATATAGAAGTGGTGCTCATCATGCGTAATAAATATCTCTTTAAAGGTAGGTAATAAATTCAACATTGCATACATTCAACTTTTCAAATTTCAACCTTCTGAAATTAAACTTCCTGGGAACCAACTTTGCCCATCAGCACTGTGAGAGATGCTAAGACAGTCTAGACAACTTTCCATTCACCCCATATTCTCTTTAAACAAGTAAATTCATTCTCTCAGAAAGGAGAACTCAAAGCAAAGAAAATCATACCAGAATACCTTGTGAACCCCATTTGAACGTACACTTTAAATTGATCCCAAGAGATGTACAGTTTAGAACTATAATTGATGATAATATGAGAAATAGAGTAAAATGCAGGGGCGGGGGTATGAACATATGGATTAATACATATAAATTAAACAGAGTCAAAACTGGCAAAATAGATTTCTACATGTATGTTCGACACAATTAACTCAAACCCTATTTTATAGATAAAGATGTAATAACTTACATGGAGTTCATATACTTGATTAAGTAAACAAACATGTTTTGCCAAACAAGGTTAAATTGTACATGAAAAATGTAAAGTATCCTTTTGTTTTTTTGTCTGCAAAGGAAAATCCAATACAACAAGCAATTTCCTCACAGTACTTATTACATACAAAAAGGGGAAAGGATATGCGGCACCAACTAGTAATACTGATACATTACACCTGTATCCTCAATGGTTAAACATACAAGTTCTATAAATTGAGTATGCGTGTAATAATAAGAATAAGAACATTGTGGTAAGTAAAAGAAAGAGTAAAAGAAAGTAGAAAGACTTGTGCTGTATATGGGGCTGCCTGCCTATGAAATGACAAGAAATGTGAGAGACAAAGTTGCACCTGGTTTTGGGGGCTGCCTCAAAATGAAATGGTGACCACCCACCCAAACAGATACCCAGCAGTAGTTGGGAGTTAAGGTTTCTAGGTAGAAATCTTCATCTTCATCTTCTTCTTTAGCTGCTCTTTGCGGTCTGGGAGTAGTCCTCCAACTCCTTCAACCACAAATCACTAAACTCACAGTCCTTCCAAGCCTCAAACCAAGGACCCCCAAGAGTGTAATGAATTGCCTTGGGGAAAGTTTCAGGTTTGCTCTCAACAACTCTATTGTGTCCCACAAGGAAGTTCCAAACGAAGGGGACACTCCCAATCTCATGATCCTCCAACCACATGAACCTGTGAAGAAACGCCCCAGACTCAGAATTCACAACCTCAGGGGTGAGCACCTTGTTCTTCGGGTGCCCGCAGTTGTACAGAACCATGGACGACCAGTTCTTCCTTGGGTAAACCGTCTGGACGGCCCCATCCATTTTGGTCGTCTCTTTGGGGGCATAATCGTGTTTCACACACATCAAGGCGTACCTATCGTCCACCATTTCTCTCAATTCCTTAATGTCGCCCAAGTAGAGGAAATCGCAATCAACAAACATGGCCCAACCTTGGTAGCCTGATAGGTGCGGGGTCAGGAAACGGGTGAATGAGAATTCGGTGCTCTCCAATTTCCCCCTCTCCCGCCAGTACAGCCCTTTCTCCCTCAGCTCGGATTGCTTGATCGCGTGCACTTCGATGGGGATCGAAGATCTCTTCTGCAGGGAATGCCGGCATACCTCGAACGCCGTGTCCTCGCGTGGGTCGTATCCTATGAAAATCTTGAAGGCATTCTTCTCGGATACACCATTGCTTCCATGGACGGAATCTGACGGATCCTTCATCACCGACGCCATTCCGGTTCAATTGATACCAAGAGAGAGGAATGCGGAAATTGGTTTAAGCTTTGCCGCCCGGCCGGCGAGCAGATCTGGAGCGTAAGACTGGACGAGAAGTAAACCAAGAAGAAAAATAGTAAAATGTCTTAAAATGGGACTTGTATCATTTTCGAAGAAACGAATTTCTTTACCAGTATTTCATCTACCGTCCAAATTAATTGAACGTCACCCATACACTAATTTTGCGGGACGAATTGTGTAATAATAAGAAAAGTAAAGTTCTAAATATTGTTCTTATTGTATTGACTGAAATTACTGTAGAAAGTCATTTTAGTTATTTTTCATATATTTTTTCTTTATTTTATTAATAAAATATATTTTAAATATTTTTTTTACATAAATCAACAAAATCAATCAATCCAGTCACTTCAACCAGAAATTCATGAGTATTAACAGAATCAGTTGATTTAGTCAATATTGATATTACCAAACGAGCTCATAAAATATTTATATATTCTTACTTTACTTACCTATTTTATACTCACATTAAGAGCCTTGTTGGGATATTGGGTCCAGGCCCAATATCCCTAGGCCCAAATCCGGGAAGAAGCGGCAAGCCCAAAGAACTCCCGAACGGCATTCGGGATAAAACTTATACTTGGAACATTCTGGGTAACGATTATGCCAAGGTATCAAGGCCCAAATATCGATCGGCGTTCGGGATACTTCAGGTAGAAATTATCACCTATGACGGGGTCCCACACACCGAACACCTTGACCGAACGGGCAATCAACAAGTGGAGGCCGCATTTAATGCTGGATCATGGCGGCAGCAAGTGGGGGCATGGGTGCTTACATGGCAGAGGTGATAGCCTACCAGATTCGACCACGTGTCCACCTTACCCATCCCCATTTTAGTATAAATATCCATGTTTAGATCATTGTAAGGGGTTAGCATTTTAATACTCAGAGCTTAGCAATAGATTTACATCTCCCATCCTTGTAATCTCATATTCATCTACCGTTCGGGTAGTTTCAGTGTAATTGCTTAATTACAGAATATAAGTAAGTTCTTGAGTTGGATATTATTTCACTATTTTATATTTTACACACATTTCAACCCTACCCAATATCCCTACAATATCCAAGGCTTGTGTTGGGCTTTCGGATCTTCGGGAATAAACCTCAACAAGCCTGTTTGGTAATACTATAATTGCCTGAATTGGCTGACTCGGCTGAAATTTATGAAGTTCTGGCTGAAATGGTTGTATTGGCTGATTCTGCTGATTCATGAAAACATTATATTTAAAATATTTGTTATTAATAAATAAAATAAAAAATTATATGGAAAAATAGCTAAAATGGTTTTCTACAGTAACTTCAGCCAATACAGCCAGAAAAGTAATTCCAACCTTACTTTTTCTGCTTATTACAAAATTCAGCGCGCGAAATCAAAAGTTATGTGTTTGATGAAAAAATTGGCTGATAAGCTTGATAAGCCGAAAAAGGTGTCACCAAACGGGCTCTAAGAGCATCTCCAATAGTAAAATGTGCACGGTGCACACGTGGCATGAGAAATGACCACATAAATATTAGTAAATAAATTCTTTCTCTCCTTATTTGAATGATTTTATACAATTTTGGTAAGTTTTTCTCTACAATGTCAAGGAGACTGTCTAGATGTTGACATTGTTGTTGACATTGCAGGGAAAAACTTACCAAAATTGTATAAAATCATTCAAATAAGGAGAGAGATAATTTATATGATAATATTTATGTGGCTATCACTCATGTCACATGTGCACCGTGCACATTATAGCATTGGAGATGCTCTAACTCTATCCCTAGTTCCGGCCTAGGCGGGGCCTTTTAAGACCTTTTAGAACACTGATCCCTACACCTAATTTATGTTTTGAAAAGGTATAATAGGAAAGTCACAAGCGAGATAGATGGTATGAGATGGAAAATCACACCTGATTTAGGGTTGCATTTAATTATTTGTATTAACAGTGTTTCTATTCTTTCATCAATATTTGGTCTCTTTTATCCAAGTTTAGATTTGGTATCATCTTTATCAGTTGAAAAAGTTTGTAGTATTATTTTTGTTTTTACAAATTAATGACAATCATACAACATCTTTTTTCTCACTAATTGTAACATTTCTTGCTGTCTCAATTTAACTGTCAAATTCTAGTTTAGTTATTCTAATCTGATCTGAAATGTTTAATTTATTCTAATCAAGTATGATATGATATGGTCGTTTGGTGTGCAGATTGAAATGGGTTGTTCAACTAAAAGCATTCCATCCAACTCTCCAAACATAACTAAATTCACCGAAATTGTTGAATGCGCTAACCAACACGGCCTTACCTAGATTAATTATCACGTGTTTCCATCCAACATGCGGACTTACCAAAATCTCAAAATTATTGTCCAGAAAAAAAAAATCAATTTTTTTTTCAAAATTATTGTCCAGAATAGTAAATTAAGCCATAAATATTTTACACCAACCGCCAATTGCCAATATTCTAGGGGCAGGAGGATGTGAACAAATTCAAATCCCACAAAAAATGGGAGACCTAATCCTTGACTCACCAACACTTCATGATTCTTTATTGAGAATACATCACATTGGAAGCTGAAATCAGAAATCAGAAATCAGATGGACAATATATGAGGCTGGACATCATATATATTTTTTGTTCAAAAATGTGATAAAAAATTGAATTTTGGGGGAATATTTTGAGTGGGGTCCACTTCCGATTTGGGTCGGGTCAAAGTTGTTTCGGATTGTCCTTGTTAAGGGCTACAATTCGATATGTGATACGCTCAAAACGGATAACGGGTGAATGAGAAATTGATTCTCGAAGTTCACTCGTTGATATATTTATTGAAGTTACTAAGAACGGATAATTCGTGAAGATAACTGCGCATTTTTGCGTTCTCGAATTAATTTGAATACGTTCCCAATTGAATTTTTAGCTGAAATTTGAAATGAGTAAACTAGACTTGATGAATAAGATGCTCAAAAAAAATTCATCAAAAATTCCACCGGGAACCACCCCAAATCGCGACGGCCGGACAGAGTCTCCTATAGAAGGACTTAATTGACTTTTTTATGAAAGTTCGAGTACTTATTTGACAATTTTCCCTATTTCGTATAAGTATTTATTTATTTTATTAATAAAAGATGTTTTAAATATAGTTTCTACATAGGGTATGTTTGGCACAACTAGCTAAAAAGATACTTGTACAAGCTTTTTAGTAACTGTTAGCTTTTAGTGACTGAAAAGATCTTACAAAGAAAAGGTGAGAACTGTTTGGTAAAAAGCTGACTGTTTGATTTAGTTCGGTTTGGTATACAAGCTGTTAGGACTAATTAATACTAAAAGTCACGAGCTTTTCTCAGATGCTACACCCGGTAGCATCTCAAAAAAGATCTTTTAATTTTTGAAAAGCTCTTAAAAAATGTCATGCCAAACATACAACTAGAGTCTTTTAAGGTCCTTTTAAATAATAGACAAGCTAGAAGGTAGAGCCTTTTGTGTGCCAAACATAGCCATAAATCAACAGAATCAGTCACTTCAACCAAAGTTTCACTATAATTATTCAGCCCAATTTTTCAATGGGCTCATAAAATATCTTTAAATTCATTCTTTAGTTACCTTGTTTATACTCACCTTCGCTTCTGATTTACGTTTAATTATTTATATTATTAGCATTTCCATTCTTTCATTAATATTTGGTGATTTGGTCTCTTTTATTCAAGATTGCATTTGATATCATTTTTATAGTTGAAAATGTTGAAAGCTCAATTAATTGGTAGGCTATCAGTCTCTCTCTAAGGCTTCCTAACCGCTAGAGCCTTTTTCTCCGGCGGCGATCAATTCCGATCATGGGTTCCGTCCATTTTTGTACGATCTGTGTGTTTCTGTTTGGCTTACGTCATCGGGATTAGCGCTCGGTTGTTGTCGAATGTTGGTCTGCTACAGCGTTTCCTTTCGTTTTGATCCCAGACAATAGGCGATCCGATTGGTTCTCTTTTTTTGGGAGGAAGAATGAGTTTGGGTAGCAAGGGCATGACAGCGATGAAGATGATCGCTAGTGGTGGATTTGCTAAGAGCGGGGACGAGGTGAGTTGCACGGCTTTCGAGCAGGTCAGATGACGATTGACAATTGAAGGTCAATTAGAATGGTACCAAGGATACTGCCTCCTCTGGAACCACCGTCATGGGTTGTACGGGGTGATAGAGTCCGTGAAAGTTTTCCTATTAGTTATTATTTTTTGTCATTTAGATTCCTGTTATTGTCTATGTTGTTAGATTTGTCAGTTTGTTTGGGATTTCAGCCTTTTTTTATGTCATTGAGTATGTTTGGATCTATGGGAACATGAATGACTGTGTCAAGCCCGCTACATGGGTTTACAGTCGTAGTTGTTGGAATTTTGTTGGTGTCAGTTTTGTTTTTCCTTTGACTGATATAATGATCTGAAATTTATGACATGAAAGAAGGCTAGTTGACGATAAAAAAAATTAGTTGAAAATGTTTATTGTATTATTTCTGTTTTTACAAATTAATGACAATTACACAAAATCTTTTTTCTCCGTAATTGTAACATTTCTTGTTGTCCTAACTTAACTATCATAAAAATTGTATATTACTTAAATCAATTAAAGAAAATAATATTAAATACAACTCTAGGGATATTTTTAAGGAAAAATAATTAAAACAATCCAAACTTTGAAGGAGTGTGAGATAAACACCTCAAACTTTCATATGTAATTTAAATACCCTAAACATTATATATAAAAAGTTATTTTAGCACAATGGTCATATATTATTTCTTTCAAAATGTAAATATATGGTGTTAATTTCATAATTTAAAATAGAAAATTAAAAATGCTGCAATTATATAGAGTGGGGGTAGTATTATTTATTTTATAATGAAAGTTTAGAATTTTGATAGTATCTTCATGTATACTAAAATATTTTACTTTATGAAATTAACACCAAAAACTAACATTGTTTAAAGAAATAATATATAAACATGGTGCTAAAATAACTTTTTATATAAAGTTTGAGGTATTTAAATTATTACATATGCAAGTTTGAGGTGTTTACCTCACCCCCTTCAAAGTGTGTGGTATTTAGATTACATATGCAAGAAGGTGTGAGGAAA